GAAAACACGCGCATGCACGTGCGCTGCAATCTGATTGCCTTAAACTTAAAATGGCTATAACTCCCTTGTTTTTCAACCAAACAGGATGGGATTTAGAAGATACAGACATAATGGACTCATACAAGAAGGTATAGTCATCATGCAGTGCGTGCACGTGTGTGCACGTGCGCTTTGCTGTGATTGGCTGACACAAAAATCTCAATATCTTATTTTAATTTTTGACGAAATGCTTTGAAATTTTAAACATAGTCATGCATTAGGATATCCTACAATATGATATATAACAATTGTCCTGAAAACACGCGCATGCACGTGAGCTGCAATCTGATTGTCTTAAACTTAAAATGGCTATAACTCCCTTGTTTTTCAACCAAACAGGATGGGATTTAGAAGATAGACAGACATAATGGACTCCTACAAGAAGGTATAGTCATCATGCACATGCATGCACGTGCGCTTTGCTGTGATTGGCTGACACAAAAATCTCAATATCTTATTTTAATTTTTGACGAAATACTTTGAAATTTTAAACATAGTCATGCATTAGGATATCCTACAATATGATATATAACAATTGTCCTGAAAACATGCGCATGCACGTGAGCTGCAATCTGATTGTCTTAAACTTAAAATGGCTATAACTCCCTTGTTTTTCAACCAAACAGGATGGGATTTAGAAGATAGACAGACATCACAGACTCCTACAAGAACGTATAGTCATCATGCACATGCATGCACGTGCGTGCACGTGCAATGAATAAAGTTACAACTGCACATAATTTAGCGTATTTTTGAAACATTTTTATTAGATGCCTTAATATTATGTACTTTAAAGAATATTGATAGTGTAGATAAAATTATATGTTCATTTTGCATATGCATGCACGTGCACTCAGGTGCAATGCAAAAATTTGCAATTAACATGGTTTACATAGTCAAAAAAGGTTGTTAAAGTCTAAGATGCATAGAGTTTGTCTTACTAAATGAAGCTTAGAGGGAATTGAGGCACCAAAAGGAAGTTCAGGAGCGTTTGGGGAACATCTGTAACGGTTCCCGTTACAATCAGCCCTAGTATCTTTTGTTTTTATTGTTTTTTTTTTGGGGGGGGGAAGAAAATTAATTTTTTTTAAAAACTATTACTTATAGCTATTTTTAATAGCTATAAGTAATAGTTTTTAAGAAACAATATTGATGTATATAGTAAGTATTAAACGTAACCACTGTTTTGCTCATGCAGACTTGTGTCATATTCAACTAATACTAAATAGAAAAGACAAAAATAAGAAAATCATTTTTCAAAAGATCGTTGAATGGAGTTAATATTAACATTCTTGACTCATAGATCAGATTAAAGTTATTGAACATAAATATTATCTGCTTCCTTGACTGTAGTAGGCGTGTTTTTCGGCGAAACACTTCAACCTTTTCATGAAAGTTAAACTAATCAGGATAGTTCATAATGGGGATAAACAAGAAATTTAAACCAAAAAAAAGTTAAAAAGTATACCAGATTCACTGATTTAGTGTTACTTATCTATATACGATATGGAATCTGTAAATATGCTAAGTATACTTTCTTAACCTTGAAATTTAAGCTATAAGAACATTCTTGTTTCATTTCCATCGAAACTATCACACCTATTTAATGAAACATTCCAAAGAAAAGGCGCGAAGATTTACTCGTGGCGTTTGACGCAAAACTATGAATAGTGACCTGCCTTTCATTATTCGGAAACAGATGTACTGTTGCAGAAGTATATACAAGTACATTTAGAGCTTTGGTCCCTATAGCGTAATACCGGTAGTAATTAAGCGGTTTTCATTTTCACGCTAACGACTCGGGTTCAATCCCCTTTGTTTTCATAACAAGATTAATCACTTTTTTTCAGCTCGATTTTTTTTCAGAATCGGACGGAAGACCTCTCTCTCCTCTCTCTCTCCTTGACTGCAACGAACCTTTTCATGAAAGTTTTCTAGTTCATAATATAAACAAGAAATTTAAAAATATACCAGATTCACTGATTTAGTGTTACTTATCTATATACGATATGGAATCTGTAAATATGCTAAGTATACTTTCTTAACCTTGAAATTTAGCTATAAGAACATTCTTGTTTCATTTCCATCGAAACTATCACACCTATTTTGAAACATTCCAAAGAAAAGGCGCGAAGATTTTCGTGGCGTTTCGCAAAACTATGAATAGTGACCTTTTTATTCGGAAACAGGTCTTGCCGTCCCTATAGCGTAATACCGGTAGTAATTAAGCGGGAAGACCTTCAATCCCCTTTGTTTTCATAACAAGATTAATCACTTTTTTTCAGCTCGATTTTTTTTCAGAATCGGACGGAAGACCTCTCTCTCCTCGCAACGAATTTCTTTTCTAGTTATATTTATTAGTAAGGTCTTCCGTCTTCAGCGGAAGACCTTACTATTATTCTTAGTTTTCTTTTCCACTATTTTTATTAAGGTCTTCCGTCTTCAGCGGAAGACCTTACTATTATTCTAAGGTTTCTTTTCCACTATTTTTATTAAGGTCTTCCGTCTTCAGCGAAAGACCTTACTATCATTCTTAGGTTTCTTTTCCAGTTTTTTGCCCCGTGGGGATCCGGGTTAGAATAGGTCCTCAGTACCCCCTTGCTTGTCGTAAAAGGCGACTAAATGGGGCGGTCCTTCGGATGAGACCGTATAAACCGAGGCCCCGTGTCACAGCAGGTGTGGCACAATAAAGATCCCTCCCTGCTCAAAGGCCGTAAGTGCCGAGCATATTAGGCCTAAATTTGCAGCCCTTCACCGGCAATGGTGACGTCTCCATATCAGTGAAATATTCTGGAGAGGGACGTTAAACAGTATACAATCAATCAATCAATCCACAGTTTTTATTATTTTTTCTTACATATTTTGTGCACGCGAGTTCTCGGAAACGGCTTGATGGATTTTCAGGAAACTTTCAGGTCTGATAGAACATCAAAAAATTTAGAAACATTTTTTATTTTTATGACGTCACTTCCGGTTCGGAGATTTCAGCTATTTTGTCATTTTTAGAGGGTCACTTTCTCCGGCAATATTCTCAAAAACCATTGAAGATAAAAGTGTGAAATTTTCAGTGATGCTAGAGCAACCTTTGGAGAAGTGCATTTCGTATATATCACAACCACCAGAAGTACGAAGCTCCAACGCTCGCTATGGCCCAAAAATAGTCCTATCAAGAATTTCAAAATTTTTAACACCTTTTCTACAATAACTTTTTACCTAGAAATATTTTGTTTAAGCATGTTGAACAAGGAAGTGTAGAATACTAAGATCTTTCAAATGATATCTCGAAAAAAGGGCTGGCCCCTAAAATTAGGGATCGAGAGGGGAAAGAAGTTTTTGCCCGATATCTTTAAAAGTATTGAGAATTTGCAATTTATTAAGAAGCAATTTTGTTCAAAATGTCAAGCTTAATCTATGGGGTCGTAAAAAAAAACGGAAGTAGTCATAAAATGCATATTTTTGCCATTCTTGTCAAGTTTTTGGGTAACATCTGTCACTAGGAGCATAAAACTTAATTTTTCAGTCCGTTGTCGTCACTTTCGGTCAAACCGGAAGTAGCAAAAATGGCTTATTTTTGCGTTAATTAACATAGATTTGGAGGATCTAAACCACTTTTGGGCATCATAACTTTTTTTTTTTTTTCAAAAATGAAAGTTACCTCCAGTCAAACAGGACGGAAGACTTACAGCTTTGCTCTAGTTATTGAGTTTTTTTCTTACCGATTTTGTGCACGCGAGTTCTCGAGAACGGCTCGATCGATTTTCATGAAACTTTCAGGTCTGATAGAACATCATAAAATTTAAATATATATTTGTTTACTTTGATGACGTCACTTCCGGTTCGGAGTTTTCTGCGATTTAGTGATTATTAGAGGTTCACTTTGTCCGGCAGTTTTCTCAAAAACGATTTCCCCCATGTATTCCTATGTAAAACCTTGATCACCCAATGTGACCCACCTGTACCCCTTGGGGTCGTGATTTAAACAAACTGGAATCTACACTACAGGAGGATGCTTCTATATACATGCAATAACAGCTTTGCTATTCTTGAGAAAAAGATTTTTAAAGATTTTTTCTATGTATTCCTACTTAATCACCCATGATAACCCAACTCTTGCCTCAGGGGTCATGATTTGAACAAATTTAAACAGGTCTGGACGATTTCCAAATATGGAAGTCAAGAACGATAACCGAAAGTTGCTATAAATGTACATCAAGTACACGTAATTATTTTTCTGACCAATCAGACAACAGCATTTTTACACACCCAAAAACATATTTTAAAATAACAAGATAACACGTGCTTTTATTTTTTTCATCAAAAAGATTTTTTTAACAAAAAATCTGTAGAAGTAAGATAAAAACTTTTGAAGAAGGTATTCCTCACATATTTACCATGAACAACCTTGACATTTTTATCTCGGTAAAGAAAACTAGAGGTACTGTGAGCAATGAGCTCACTAAATGATACCCCCCGCCTCCCATATGAATATAATGGCAGTGTCCATGTTTTGCTCTGGAAAATCAAAAATATATGTCAGATCAAAAAGTAAAATAGGAGGTGCACAATGGCAATATGTAATCAAGAATCTGTGAAAGTTTCATTAAATTTCCTTCAGTGGTATGAGAGGAGTTGCGGATAAGAGATGGGTACCCCAAAGCGTAACAGACAGACGGACGGACGGACGGACAGACGGACGGAAATATCGATTACTATATACCCTCCCACTTTTCAAGCGGGGGGTATAAAAATATTATGCATGATAGAATGTAACCGTTTAGTACGGAGGTATAGATCGCACAAGCAAGTTCTTATCAAGTTCAATTATAACATTTACCAGAATACACTATATTTTGCTAAATATAATTTTGCTTATCCGTCCGATTTTCATCGATAATGCTTAAATTCCATGTGTATAGATCAACTCACACAATTGTTTTCATCGTATGGGCTATACACATATTCTACTTCATCACTGTCAAGGTCATTCCGGAACCACATGAGATAGCGCTAGCTTATCAGACCTCAGTGCGCTTTCAGCTCTGCTTCAGTGTGGATGTGTTATCTTTACAAGAATATTACCGTTATCTTTGACTTTCCCGCGTTTTTAAGTGAACAAAGGATTAACTTTGTAAATTAGTATCATGGCTACTGGTCATGATGAGGATGCCCTACTGGGGCCCTCTGATGATGAAACATCATCAGATTCAAAAAACATCTTTAGTGCACTGAAAACCATTCAGAGCACAATGGAATCGGTTGCCACGGGCATCAACAAAATGGGGGATGCATTTACTGCTTTAGCAGCGGCAAACCCACAACAAAAGGTCACTGACCAGCCTTCCACCTCTAAGCGCTCATTTGCAGAAATAGAGGAGGGGGAGATATCTGATGAGTATGATGATACAGATGATGTTAAAAGTCTACTTAATTCAGCTACTGGTAAAAACTCACTATCATCAGAAAGTAAAGACTCAAATGAGTCATGTAGTGGCTCTATACTTGAAGAAATGGATGCCCTACTTGAGGATGACGATGATGTGGGGCCGGCTGTGGCTGAAAAATTGGCAAATATTACTAACAAGGCTTTTTCAAAGCAACATGCCATTGAAAGTGTAAAGAAAAAGAAGGAAATCCATAAAAGACCTAAAAATTGTGATAAGGTCATGGTTCCTAGAGTGAATAAAGAAATATGGAGACAAATGTCGAAACAAGGTTTCACTAAAAAACGTGATTTGCGCTTAATGAACATTCAAAGTGCGATCACGAAGAGTACATGCGCCATATTAAGTGTCGCAGACAGTCTCCTCAAAGTTGATGGAGAAAAACATGACAAAGAGATTAGGAATTGTCTGGATGCCATCTATTTGCTTGGACATGCAAATACAGCTATGTCAATGCAAAGAAGAGAACTGCTGAGACCAGTATTGTAGAGTGATTATGCTGGTCTGTGCGACAGTAGCACACCAGTGACTTCTCTTCTTTTTGGAGATGATCTTCCAAAGTCATTGAAAGAAGCCAGGCAAATGGGAAATGTTGGTCGTGATTATCCGTCAAAAAACGGGAGACGATACGGGTTTCATCAGAAACCCAAGAACGAATATTTCAAAAAGAAGATCCACAGCAAGAAATTCAAAAAAGATTAGATACTAAAGAAAGTAGCTCTGAAGAACCTTATTTTGAGGTAAGGTTGCATGAAAAATTAGAATTTTATTCTGTTGAATTTTAGTATAAGAAAATAGTATCTAATGCTGAAAACCAGATTTTACAATTTGAGGGTGGTAGAATAAAGCATTTTTTGGATCAATGGATAAAGCTTACTTCAGATCCAGAAATTCTTAAAATAGTTACTGGTATTGAACTTGAATTTATGGATGAACCTGTACAAAATAATATACTTAATCAATGTAGTTTTAACGAAAAAGAAATAAGTGCTATTGATGCAGAAATACAAAAACTACTTGACAAGAAAGTTATAGTAGAAAGTGAATATGAGAATGAACAATTTATTTCTCCCATATTCTTGAGGCCTAAAAAAGATGGAAAATACAGGCTCATATGTAATTTGAAGTATTTAAATCAATACATTCAATACCATCATTTTAAAATGGATTCGCTGTTTTCAGTGTTACGCATGATAACACCGGGATGTTATATGGCTTCCATTGATCTCAAAGATGCTTATTATTGCATACCTGTATCGAAGAATTATCAGAAATATTTGAAGTTTTATTGGAACTCAAAACTGTACAAATATAGAGCTTGTCCTATGGGTCTATGTATGAGTCCTAGATTATTTACAAAAGTGCTGAAACCAGTATTTGCAGGGCTTAGAAAATCTGGACATCAGTCTATAATTTATATAGATGATATTTACTTACAAGGAGACAGTATTGAATTATGTAATCAAAATGTGATGGCTACATCAGATATTTTGAACAAGTGTGGTTTTGTCATTAACCCTGAAAAATCTGTATTTATTGCCAGTCAAGAAATTGAATATTTGGGGTTTATTTTGAATTCTAGAGAAATGACAGTGGCTATCACAAATCAAAAAGCAGAGAAAATGATAGGTCTTTGCAAAGAATTTCTTAATTGTAAGACAAATACTATCAGGGATTTGAGTGCCATCATAGGTAATTTAGTGGCAAGTTTCCCAGCTGTAACACATGGCAAGTTATTCTATAGACAATTAGAGAATGAGAAAATAGAGGCTTTGAAGGAGGCAAAAGGTCAATTTGATGCTGGGGTTCAGTTATCTGATTTGGCCATGAAGGATTTACATTGGTGGTTAAGAAATATCTTAGGCTCCAAAGCTCCGATTACAAGAGGTCAAGCTGATCTGATAATTGAAACAGATGCTAGTTTGAGGGGTTGGGGTTGTAATTGCCGATCACTCAATATATCAGCAGGTGGACCTTGGAAACAAAATGAAGCAAATTATCATATTAATGTTTTGGAACTTCAAGCTGTATATTTTGCATTACAATCATTGTGTAATGACAAGCGCAATATTTCAATACATTTATTAATTGATAATACAACAGCTGTAGCATATGTAAGGGAACAAGGTGGAAGTCGTTCCTTAGAATGCAATAAAATGGCTAGGAAAATCTGGATGTGGGCATATGACAGAAATATATGGCTTTCTTCTGCTCACATTCCGGGGAAAACAAATTACACAGCTGATTTTGAAAGTAGAAATTTTAGACAAGAAAATGAATGGATGCTTGATAAAAAAGTATTTCAAGATGCAATTTCACAATTAAATTTCAAACCTGAAATTGATTTATTTGCTTCACGCAATAATTGTCAAATAGAGAAATTTGTTTCATGGAAACCAGAACCTGAATCATACGCAATTGATGCATTTTCTATTTCTTGGACTAATATGAAATTGTACTGTTTTCCACCTTTCAGTGTAATACCAGCAGTTTTGCAGAAAATGGTACTGGAAAAAGCAAAGGGGATATTAGTGATGCCAAATTGGCCCACTCAACCCTATTACGCAACGGTCATGAAAATGTTAATAGCAAAGCCATTGTATGTTCACAGACGCAAAACATTACTACAGTTGCCAGAGAAAAACGAAATTCACAAAATATGGGACAAACTGGACATACTGATATGTCTATTATCAGGAGATCGATCTCAAACAGAGACCTTCCGGAAAACGTTACCAACATATTGCTTTCATCATGGAGATCAAACACAGCCAAACAATATGAATGTTATTTACGAAAGTGGGAAAAGTTCTGTAATCGAAGGGAGATTAATTCCTTTTCTACAAATGTGAATAATGTGTTAACATTTTTAACTGAACTTTTTGAAAACAATTGTGGATATTCAGCAATAAACACAGCAAAGTCTGCTATTTCGAATGTGATCATATTGACGGATTCAGAACATATCACCGTGGGAAACCATCCTTTGGTTAAGCGGTTCATGAAGGGAGTGTACAATCAAAAACCATCGCTTCCTAGATACAAATCTGTATGGGATGTGTCCGAAGTTTTGGATTGGCTACAGAAAATTGAGATTGACAATGTAACTTTGAAAATGCTGACTTTGAAGACAGTCATGCTGTTAGCCTTGTTATCGGGTCAAAGAGTTCAAACTCTACGTGCATTGTCTGTAAATAAACTAAAATTGACTGAATCTTCTGCAGAATTTCACATAGAGACTTTACTCAAGCAAAGCAAACCTGGTAGACATTTATCAGTGATTAATTTCACGAGCTACAATGATCGACAACTTTGTGTAGTGAGTCACTTGCATAAATACATAAATATGACTAAAGATTTAAGAAAATCTAATGCACTTTTCATTAGTTATCAAAAACCATACGGTCCAGTTACAACTGACACTATTGCTCGTTGGCTAAAAACTGTGTTGCGTAACAGTGGTGTAAATACAGATGTGTATTCAGCACACAGCACTAGGGCGGCGTCTACATCAGCGGCAGCAGCCAATGGATGTACAGTAGATGAAATAATGACACATGTGGGTTGGGCAAATGCTCAGACATTTGCAACATTTTATAATAAAATGTGTATGAAAAACGAATCAACATTCAGCGATAAGGTTCTTCAAAGAAAATAAATGTAAATAATTAGTCATGTACATCAATGATGACAGTTTGATTTGTGGAGAATACAGTTTTATATGTTTTATTAGTAAATGATGGTCAACATTATATGTTGTTTCATGTCATATTTAATAGCCTCAGAGCTTTCAATTCTCATGTGGTTCCGGAATGACCTTGACAGTGATGAAGTAGAATTAAGAAATTAAACGAAACTTACCTGGAAGTTGAAGTTTGATTGGGATTCTACTTCATCACTGGAAAAAATGGAGGAATCACATGCCCTTCCCTTCGTTAATTTATATTGCCCTCCCTTATAAAAATTTCATTAATTTCTTCGGCTATTAAATGGGATTTAAACACTGAGGTCTGATAAGCTAGCGCTATCTCATGTGATTCCTCCATTTTTTCCAGTGATGAAGTAGAATCCCAATCAAACTTCAACTTCCAGGTAAGTTTCGTTTAATTTCTTAATTATAGCTTTAAATTATCACGGGTTTCATGAACGCTGAATACTAAGCTTTGTAGACTTTAAATGGGCATAAGGAAAGGCGTATAACGTGGAGAAAAGAGAATCCCGTGATTATACATGAATGCGTTTTATCCCAATATCTTACCACACATATCAGAGACTGCATGGACTATTTTGTTAAAGAAAAACATTCAAAAAATAATAAAGACTGATATCTATTCGATAAAATTTTTATGTCGGGCTCCAAAAGCTAAAAATTTACCGTATTTATATCAAATTTTTAACGTAAGTTAAACTTTTGGAATTGCTACCTCCTGGTGACAGATTTTTTATCCCGCTTAAAACGTATTCTAAGCTTTCAAGTCGTGTTTGTTCACGGTAGAATTGTCATAAATATTATATAATTCCTAAATGCGCATAAAGTTAACAAAAAGTTTGTTCTAAAAAAATCTTTTGAGCAAAAAACTTAAAAACCACGTGTTGTATTTATTTTGTCATGGGTTTGTCTAAATGCTGTTATCTGATTGGTCAGAAGGACTAGCGCCTTGTTTATTCTGTGTATTAATAGCAATTCACGGTTATCGTTCTTGACTTCCTTATTTAGAAATCGTCCAGACCTGTTAACTGTACACTAAAAGAGGATGCTTCCGTATAATTATGAACAATCATAACTTTGCTTTTCTTGAGAAAAAGATTTTTCCTATGCATTCCTATGTTAAACTCTTTTCCACGATTGTGCCCCCATCCTACCTGCAGGGGCCATGATTTGAACAAACTTGAATCTACACTACCAGAGAAAGCTTCCATAAAACAATCATGGCTTTGCTGTTCTTGAGAAGAAGATTTTTAAAGAGTTTTCATATATGTATTCCTATGTTAAAATGTGATACTCCCTCGGGAGTCATAATTTGAACAAACTTGAATCTACACTACCAGAGAATGCTTCAACATGAGTTTCATCTTTCCTGGCCCAGTAGTTCTGGAAAGAAGATTCTTTCTGATTTTGTGTATGTATTCCTATGCTAAACTTTGATACCCCATTGTGGCCCCACCCTTCCCTCGAGGGTCATGATTTGAACAAATTTGAATCTACTCTACCAAAAGATGCTTCTACTTGAGTTTCACCTTTCCTAGCCCAGGTTCTTGAGAAGAAGATTTTTAAAATATGCCATTAATTTTTCACTTATTCATAATTATCTCCCCTTTGAAAAGTGTGATTGCCCTTAATTTGCACAAACTTGAATTCCCTTCACCCAAGGCTACTTTATGGCAAGTTTGGTTGCCCAGTGGTTCTTGAGAAGAAGATGAAAATGTGAAAAGTTTACAACGACAACAACGACAATGACGACAGACAACGGACAAATTTCAATCAGAAAAGCTCACTTGAGCCTTTGGCTCAGGTGAGCTAAAAAGCTTAAATGCATAAGTGGTCCAGACCTACCCATAAAAATAGAGGGGGTATGATTTGAACAAAATTAAATCTTCACAAAGAAAGGATGGATACATATTTTTTTGACTGACTTTTCCCTACAAGTTTGAATTTTTATTATGGCCCTACCCTACCCAAAGGGCTCATGATTTAAAACAAGAGGTCCAAGGGCCTTATAGGTCACCTGAGCATCATGCAACAACTTTTCAGTGATCATGGTGATTGAATTTGGTTCATGTTTTAAGACAGATGCTATGGCATTCACAATTTTGAAAGAGGCACCATTGATCATAACTATACACCTATCAATTGCATAGTTTGGTTACTTCATACCCATAGGCAGGGTAGGGGAACAAAAAATGCATTTCAAATAATCAGTAATATTCAGCAATAATCAGTGGTGCCCCTACCACATTTGAACCCCTGACCCTAGGTCCACATACTCGTATATTTGCACAATTTTTGAAAAGGCACCCTTGCTTTTCAAAAATATTTGATTAATACCAAGGAGCAGATTTCAAACAATTCATTCATTTTCAGTACATGTATGTAAGTAGACACCCCCCCCCTCCCTATAGTACCCCTGACCCCGGGGCCTTGAAATTCACAATTCTAGAAGAATGGCCCTTACTCATCATAACTATATAGGTAGTTCATCTGCTTAATACCCTGGAGCAGAGAAGAAAATTTTCAAAGACTTAATGTATTTTCACCATATAATCAATAGAGCCCCACCTTAACACCAGAACCCCTGACCCTGGGGCCATAAAATTCATAATTTTGGAAGAGACACTCTTGCTCATCATTACTATGCACTTAGTTTATTTAATACCTAGGGGCAGAGAAGACTTAAAAAATTATATATATTTTCACTATATAATTAATAGAGCCCCGCCCTAACACCAGAATCCCTGACCCTGGGGCCATAAAATTCACAACTTTATAGGAGGCACTCTTACTCATCATAACTATATACTTAGTTAGTTTATTTAATACCCAGAAGCAGAGAAGAAGCTTTTCAAAGAATTAATGCATTTTCACTATCTAATCAATAGAGCCCTGCCCTAACACCAGAACCCCTGACCCTGGGGCCATAAAATTCACAATTTTGGAAAAGGCACTCTTGCTCATCATAACTATGTGCTTAGTTAGTTTATTTAATATCCAGAAACAGAGAAGATTTTCAAAGAATAATGCATTTTCACAATATGATCAATATAGCCCCTCCCTAACACCAGAACCCCTGACCCTGGGGCCATTAAATTCACAATTTTGGAAAAGGCACTCTTGCTCATCATAACTATGTACTTACATGTAGTTAGTTTATTTAACACCCAGGAGCACAGAAGAAGATTTTCAAAGAAATAATGCATTTTCACTATATAATCTATATAGCCCCACCCTAGCACTAGAACCCCTGATCCTGGGGCCATGAATTTCACAATTTTGGTAGAGGACTCAGTGCTCATTACATTCATGCCAACAGTTTGCCTGCTTAATGTCCAGGAGTATAGAAGAAGATTTTTAAAGATTGCAATAATTTTAGTGGTTTTGGCCCCTCCCCTCAGGCCCCAGGGAGGCGGGGACCATGAAATTCACAATTTTTGTTCCTCTTCACCCATAGATGCTGTGTACCAAATTTGGTTGAAATTGGTTCTGTGGTTTCAGAGAAGAAGCTGAAAATGTTCAAATGTTAACACACGACACACGACGCACGACGACAGACAAAAACGGATAACAATAGGTCAGGCCTAAAATAAAAAATTAAGTTTCTTTGCAGTTGCCTACCGACCCACTGAAATTGTACCCAACCCAAACTTTTTTTTTAGCCATTTTTTGATTTTTTTTTCAATTTTTCAGAATAATGAAACAGTTTCGTTTTCAAATTTTGACACGTTTTATATCATTTAGTAGTTTATAACAAGAGGTGAGCTTATTCATGTCTAGTAGGTGTATGAAAACCTCTTTTAATTGTTATCCAACAAAAATCTGATTTTTTTTCAAAAAAAAAAAAAAAAAAAAAAAAAGAATGCCTACCTACCGACCCAGTCTAAAAATTATAGGTCGGCAACTGCAAACAAAGAATTTTTTAAGCTTGGCCTCACCTGAGTTACTCAGGTGACCTAAAAATGGATAGCAATAGGTTGTTTTTGCAATGAGTTTACTCAGGTGACCTAAAAACTTGAATCTACCACACCTGATGATGCTTCCATATAAATCTGACCAATCATAGCTTTACTGCTATTGAGGAGAAAATTTTGGAAGATTTTTCCTATATATTGTCCATTGTGGCCCTACCCTAGCCCAGGGCCATGGTTTGAACCATATTGAATCTACTCCACCTGAGGATGTTTCCATATAGTTATGACCAATTATAGCTATGCTGTTCTTAAGAAAAAGATTTTTGAAGATTTTTCCTATATATTCCTTTATAAAACTTTTATAGTCCACAAGTAACAGCATGCACATCAAAAAGCTTGCCTGATTAAATCAATCAATATCTGCATGGGGAATAATAAACCTTTGGAGCAATACTTTATGTCCTTACTTTATATTTTGAGAACTTTGTGTAGATGAAATCTTGATTTTGTTCAACTTGTAGAAGAATCATCTCTACACTGCATACTAGATAGTTGTTATTCGGTGGAGGTTTTCTGCAAGTGGAATGATTTGCCCTTGGATCTAAATTGATTTCAAGCTACATTGTAGCACCTATTATAAAATCTGTTATCAAATCATGCATTTATTGTAAACATTTTAAAAGACTGATATAATTAAATACACATTTTGTTGGAGTGTACTAGTATTTTCTCCACAGTAGAAATGTGTGTACATTAATGTTTTTTTTCTTAAAAGGAGGGGGGGGTTAGTGTCACTATCATATATGAAATAAGAGAATGAAATAAGTAAATTCAATATTTAGACCTTTGTGGAAAGATTTTGAACTGATTTCTTATGTATTGTGTGCATTTGAACAGAAACATATAATAGATCAGCTGCATGCATCTGGAGACCATGAGTTGTTGAACAGTGTTGTTTATTATTATTAGACCAGTCCATTTATGGAATAAACCAACCATGGAATCGGTGAAACAAATTAGAAAAATCATTTTCTTTAGTGTTGCATGTCCATATACTGATATATATGATTATGTTGTTTAAAAGAATGAGATAAAACTTGTAAATAGAATTTCTGAAGCATTAGATGTCCAGAGGTTAAAAGGACAAACTTTATTTAATTCCATGGAAGTTAGCACACCCATTCATACAATAGAACAATCCAAGGAAAAGGCGCAAAGATAGCTTACTAGTGACATTTGGCACGAAAAGAGCAATTCACCCCTTTTGTAGAATATAAATGGACTGATCCAGTAGTATAGAAATGCAGAAAAAAGGATGCATGGACATGTTTAGATCATGGAAATATTAATTCTTATACACTAGCTCAGTCTGATGCCATTATAGACCTACCCTATCCCTGGGAGTCATGATTTGAATAACTTGAATCTAAACCATCTGAGGATGCTTCCATATAAAACAAGACCAATCATACCTTTGCTGTTCTTGAGAAGAT